TGAAAGCGTTTGTTTATATTCTTCACTGTATAGTCTACCTATTATTGCCAGTACAAACCGAATCCAATCCCATGGTCACATCTCACAGTCTCTCTCATCATGTGGAAACTCATTACAATGCTTAATGCTGTAGCTTTCATAATTTTTCATGATTTATCAGATTGACTAAGTTCTTACAGATATGATGGTGAGATTCTATTAAGATGATATGCAAAGTCTAATATATTTGCACGTCATTTTTCACTTACTGACTTGAACATGCTCAAGGATTCCCACACAAGAAATATAACATATGCTGGTTCTTCTATACAATATGCATTCGTTCTAATATCATGTCCAATATTTGCAGCACCTTTATGTGTGTGTCCATGGCTTGGAAAGCATTCTGTGCATTGCAGAAAGTAACTCCCAAGCTATGGTTCCCTTAGAATTCTGTAGCTGGAATTCTCTCCACCAGGCCAGATTATGTAGAGTTACAGAGCCAGGAACTCTTCAATATATTGTCTTATTACACAACATAGCACATTCTACTTTGATCTCAGAGAGAAGGAATCCATCAGTGCAGCTTTCATATACATTATTCAAAATGTAAGATGTTCAAGGATGGTTTTAAGGGCAAAGTGCTTATGTAAAAGGAGGGGGACAGAATCTTTTTCTTAGTGGTAGAGAGTAACCATGTGGAGCCTTACTTATGGTTATATTCAGTTTTGTTATATGCATATGGACATTACTTGTTGCCCAGCCCCTTACTAAGGAATAGTAAGAAAGTTACCTTAGTTAATTTTACTACACTGTTTTATATACTTTTTGACACACATATTCTGGAAGATGAGTATAATATTACCAAATGAGATAGCAATGTATGCTATTCTTTCAAACACAGAGGATAAATTGAGTCATGTTTAGAATCCTTTGTATTATAGGGGCACTGAGAATTATCCTTACATCTTCATTCTGCACAATTTGTAGAAAGACTAACTTGGATTCCTTAAATGGATAAAGATGTAGAGAGTAGTATTCTAATTTTGTCCATATTTTGATAGGTATAACAGTCTGGTATGATTTGCAATGATACCAGGGTCTCTGCCAACAAAAAAATCTGAATGGCTTCACTTATTACAAGAGCATTTTCTTTTGATTTTTAGTCACCAAAAGGTATTTGTATGGATGCCAGGCATCTAGAGATTTTTTTTTTTTTTTTAAGTTTGAGGCAGAACTATAAATGGACTTAAGGCCTTATTGTATTTTATTAAAATTATCTGGTCATATTCAGGAATCTTTGCTGGGTGTGTCAGTAATTTTATGCAAGCACTACGTGCATGAGAATTGAATGTCGATATATTAATATTAGTAAATGAGGGAATAATTACCATTAAGTCGTATGGAAACCAAGGATAATTCCAATAAGATGTTAAAGAACATGTGACACTGTGTCATTGTGAAATCTGGCATTGTAAGTCCTTAGGTTTTAATCTAAAGTGATGATAAGGAGATAAAAGTAAATCTATGTATCTTGCTGACTGCAGGACTTTGAACTTGATACAACAGTATATCCTAAAAAAACTGAGATGAGAAATTCCGAAATTATCTAGCAATATAAAGTACAAATATTTCAAAACATGATTCAGGTTTCCCATGTCACAATTTTTATATTGAAAATAAATGATGTTCAAGTACATACACTAAAGGAAAAGGTAGATTTGTAATTGCTTAGCTGAACTAACAGACATGCAGAAACCATGAAGGTGCAATGTTTTTTTGAAACTTTTCTTTCTAGTCACATCTTTTTTCCAGTAAGCTACAGGCAATGTTGCAGAAAATTTCTGAGCTAACAAGTGACATTGGCTAACAAGTTTCTGAGCATTTGAGACAGGTAGTTCTTTATTTTAAGAAATGTTTTGAAGTTTAAAGAATTGTGTAACAAAATTCCATAATCTTTCTTCTATTTTCAGCCTGCCTATCCCATGGCTGTTGTATGCCTTAGTTCAAGTGATCCAAAATTATGCGAATGAAAGGCCAAACCCCTGGTCAGTGGATCCCATTTATGTAAACTCAGGTATGAATGCAATTTGTTGTTTGGATTTCATCTTGTTTGTCATATGAGTATAATGGAACCTTGAGTTAAGGGACAATAGCAATTCAAGTGGCAAAGGAGACTTCTAAGTAGAGCTTTGACATTTTAATAGAAATTTTAATATTTGGTAGAGGAAATAAAAGACTCTAATCAGTATTTTTTCTTTTTTCTCTTTCAGAGGGCATGGCATGCTCCATTCTGCTGCTCTTCACCATGCTCATGTTTGTCATTATCTCCATTGCTTGTTCCAGGTGGAAGATGGCCAAAGGTCTTGGCTTTGCAATGTTCTTCCTCTACTTTGTATTTGTTGGAGTCTCTCTCAGCTTTGAGTATGATGTCATCGCATGCATAATCTGAGATGCCTGGGGCCAAATTTTCTACCACTGTGCGAGTGCATTTGTGTGCGTGTTTGTTTGTGTATAAATA